TTTATTGGCTAAAGCTAAAGTTTTAAAGGAGAAGCACGAAATAGAACTGGAAAAGGTGAAGTTACAAGCAAGAATGGAAACACTTCAATTACAAGAAGATCTTGCCATTTCACACAGTAAATTAAAGGTGTTAGAGGAACTTGATCCAAGCCAAGAAACAAAACCACAATGTGAAACAGAGGATGATATGAATGCATATCTAGAAGGATATTTGCAAAGTCACAAGACCAAAACTGTTGAAGTTAAATCCAGTGAAAGCAGCAGAATTGAGTCTATCCTGTCTCCCCCTCACTTCGTTGAACTAGGAGCAGTACCTAAAACCCCATTACAGAAAACCGTGCGTGTACATCATATGTCTGAACCACCGGTAACAGCAGCAGCAGCACCCGAAAAACAAAAAATGAAACCGAATTCATCTAAGGTCACCATGACAGATGTACAAACAAGAAAGGAATCCACTCCTGGAAGGGACCGGTCTGAACATTCAGATATTTCAATACAAAGACAGTCAGACTTGACAAATCTGCTTGTTTCAGTTGTGTCTCAAACATCACTCCCTAAAAAAGAAGTTCCTGTTTTCAGTGGTGACCCTTTAGAGTTCCAGCTCTTTATGCAGGCATTCAGACACAATATAGAGGACAAGACTGACAATAATGAGGACCGACTGTATTTCCTTGAACAGTTTGCAGCGGGCCAACCAAAAGAACTTGTCAGAAGCTGTTTACATCTGGATGCTACAGCTGGTTTTATTGAAGCAAAGCGTTTGCTGAAACATCATTTTGGAAATGAGTTTAAAATCGCATGAGCTTATATGAATAAGGCCTTGACCTGGGCTACAATTAGACCAGATGATGCTAAAGCACTGCATAGTTATGGACTGTATTTAAGAAGTTGCAAGAATGCTGCTCAATCTTTTCAATATATGTCCGAACTTGATTTACCATCAAACATGAAATTAATAGTGTCAAAACTTCCGTACAAGCTTAGAGAAAGATGAAGATCTGTTGTATGTGACATTATGGAGCAAACACAGCAGAGACCCAAATTCTGTGATCTTGTTTAGTTCATCGAAAAGCAGGAAAAAATATTGCAAGACCAAGAAGACCAAGAAACCAAGAAGTTTGCAACGACAGTCTCCCCAGTCGTTTGTGTTGCTGACCCTAACAGAACTTATCCTGTAAAAATGGAAAATGGAATTAAAGGCCCTACAGCCGATATGAATGATGCATTTCTTAGACCGTGGACCTACTGTAAAGGAAATCATGCTTTGGAAACATGTCAGAAAATAACAAAGATCCTTCATCAACAGAAAGTTGATTTTCTGAAGAAAAATGGTTTCTGCTTTGCGTGTTTGATTAAAGGCCATCTAAGTAAATCATGTAAGAAACGTTTGATATGCCGCTCATGTGATAAGAAGCACCCCACCATCTTGCACATAGCAAACAGTCCTCCAGATGGCGCTGTAGGAAATGTGACTGTCTCTTCGGTGGCCAAGAAAGATGCCAGCAGTGGCACAGACTCAATCATCCTGGGCATGGCATCTACAGTCCAAACAGGGGCCGGTACCATCGACCACAAACTGCCTATCGTGCCTGTAAAGGTAAAAACAGCCAAGGGAACTCATGTTGTTGAAACGTATGCTTTTCTGGATTCAGGAAGATCTGCAACATTCTGTACAGAGACGCAGAGAAACTGTCCATAAGAGGAAGGAAAACGGACATCTTACTTCGAACCATGGGTCAAGAAAAGCCTGTGCAGACCTACAAGGTGAGTGGAATCCAAGTATGCAGCCTAGATGGTGATGACTTCATAGAACTTCCGGAGGTATTTACACAACCTGTTAACTGAGGGAACATCACACGTGAGGAAGAGCTCAAACAATGGCCTTACCTTCAAGCAGTCCAGTTGAAGTCCATCAGTGCCGACGTTAGTCTGCTGATTGGAGTGAACGTTCCCAAAGCCTTAGAACCGCTGAAGGTCATTAACAGCCAGGACAAGGGGCCGTGTGCTGTCCTAACACACCTGGGTTGGATAGTGAATGGACCTCTGGGTACTAGCCCACCCTTAGACCAACATGGCCGACCACAGATAACATCCAACAGAATATCAGTGGCTCGTCTGAAAGAACTCTTGGTCCGACAATACAATCGAGATTTCTCAGAATTAGAGCACCAAGAGAAAGCAGAACACTCTGTTGAAGATAAAAGATTTCTTAAAATAATGAATGAATCCATCACAAAGAAAGAAGGTCACTATGAATTACGACTGCCGTTCCGCAGAGATGACCTTCACCTGCCGAACAATAGGAAAATGGCTGAACAAAGAGCTCTAGGTCTCAAGAGAAGACTAGAGAAAGACCAGTCATTTAAAAATGATTACGTCAACTTCATGAATGATGTTTTTAAGAAAGGGTTTGCAGAAATGGTACCAGAAGAACAGCTNGTTCAGCTGTAGGGGCCCCTGACTGTAATGGTTAGAGACCAGGTTTACTTAGTGAAGGTGTTCGGCTCTAAGGGCCCCTGACTGTAATGGTTAGAGACCAGGTTTCCTTAGTGAAGGTGTTCGGCTCTAAGGGCCCCTGACTGTAATGGTTAGAGACCAGGTTTCCTTAGTGAAGGTGTTCGGCTCTAGGGGCCCCTGACTGATCCGTCTGGATCCGGTACTGTGTTTACTGCATGTTTATCCGCAGTCCGGATGCGGTTGTGATCCGTTCCGGGTTTTGCAGGTCTGGTGACAGCAGCAGTTCCACCGGAGCAGCCCTCCGACAGATCCCTCCGCGGGGTCACACACACTTTTTACAAAACACAAACAAACGAGGCGGTTCCGCGAGAGGCCCGATCAGAGCGATTGTCTACCGGGCCACAGTTCGATGCACTGCCGCCTTGGTCCCGGTGCTTGACTGGAGTCTGACCGGCTACCTGGCGCAGCTACGGGGAATGTTTTCTGGGATCTACTTCTCCTGCTGGTGTTGACAGGCGGTGCTTCGGTCGCTCCCAAACATGGCCTCCATGACGGAGCGACCGCTTCAAGTTTAATTTTTCCCTGATTGTGTGCGTCCAGTCTGCGTGTTTTCCTTCTCCGGTCCCCGGGAATGTTTCTGCGGAGGAGCTCCTCACTGCAGACCCCAGAAGCAGATGTTATCTGTCGCAGTAATTCGCTGTTGAACACGTCGCTCTAAGTTGGCTGAAAGCTGGAGAGGAAAAAGAGATCCGCGTCAAATCGGTAAGCAGCCCGTTCCTCTTCTCCTCCCGCCGCAGACCTGCACTGATCCGGGGAACGAGGCCGTCTGCCCGCGGCCCCTGGCCGGCTGTCCGGTGCCCGCACCGCAGGGCGGACCGCCACCGAGCTAATGCTAATGCTAAGGGGAACGGGGCGGAGCGAGGCTAGTTGCTAACGGCTAACCAGTGGTTTCCTCCAGCGGCTGTCATTAACAGCGCGGTTCCGAACAGCGACAGCGATCCTGGAGGCTGCTAGTCGGCCACTTACAGCCGCTCATCGGCCGCTGGGTGCTGCTCCACTGGCCGATGGCTCTGTTAGCATGCAGCTAGCCGGTTAGCCTCACAGGTAGGGCTCTGATCAACTGAACCCACCTGATTCATTGGTTCTGGTCCCAGTTTGGTTCCCCGACCTCTGATCTAGTCCGAGCCCCGGTGCTGGAGGTCCATGCTGGGGAAGCTGACCTGAACTCAGGTCGGTGTAGGTGTGCCAGGGGTCCAAAGCTCCAGAAGCTGGTTCTGTTGGAACCTTTAGCCCAGAGCCTTAGCTTAGTGGTTCTCCTCATAACTTAATGGACTCTGGTTCTGGTTCTAGGGGGGCTTGACGTGGTTCTGGTTCACTAGTCCCGATCAGCAGCTTCTTCACCCAGGTGTTGATGGACCTGCTGTAGCTGCATGACTGCAGCGGTTCAGGTGAAGCTTCTGACTGAAGATCAGCAGTCTGATGATGAGGAGGAGGCTCACTGCCTTCCTCAGCTGACCGAGCCCAGACCATGTGGTCCGCTGGACCAGGACTGAGCAACAGCTGTTCCTGTTCTCCATTCAAACCACCAGAACCTTTATTAAGAAAGCAGTCGGTGACAGAGGGAGCAGCCGGACGCTGTAGCTGAGGCCCCTGAACGCACCGCTGGGCTACTCCTCTGTTCACAGTGGTCCAGGTCTAAGCAGCCCCTAGGAGCACCTGGACCTGGGGTTCCCTCAATGTTGACACTGGTCCACTGTGATGGCCGTCCTCCAGAATGTTCTGAAGGTCCAAATGTTCCTCTGATGCTCCAGTTTGAGGTCCAGAACGTATTTGGTAGTTCTACATGGACCATGAGCGTCTGTGGTTCTGTTCCAGAGTTCTACAGGTCTTTTGAAAGAGCCTGGTTTTTGTCTCCGGTTTCAGCAGTCGGGTCGATCTGCTGGCTCATTCAGACGGAACACGGGGAGTTCTTCTTGAACCTCTGCAGGACATGGATGGGGACCGGGTCTGGATCAGAGTGTCATCAGAACCCCAGTAGCAGGGTTCTCTTTTGGGGTTCTGGGTCTGGTTCAGAGTGGTTCTGGTTCTGAATGGTTCTGGGCCTGGTCTGGTTCAGACAGGTTTTGGGTCTGGTCTGGTTCAGACTGGTTCGAGGTCTGCTTCAGACTGGTTCTGGGTCTGGTTCAGACTGGGTCGTGTTCAGACTGGTATTGGTAATGGTCTCGTTCAGACTGGTTCTTGTTCAGACTGGTGCTGGTTCTGGTCTGGTTCAGACTGGTTCTTGTTCAGACTGGTTCTGGGTCTGGTCTNGTTCAGACTGGTTCTTGTTCAGACTGGTTCTGGGTCTGGTCTCGTTCAGACTGGTTCTGGTTCAGAATGGTTCTGGTCTGATTCAGACTGGTTCTTGTTCAGACTGGTTCTGGGCCTGGTCTGGTTCAGACAGGTTTTGGGTCTGGTCTGGTTCAGACTGTTTCTGGTTCTGGTTTGGTTCAGACTGGTTCGAGGTCTGGCTCAGACTGGTTCTGGGTCTGGTCTGGTTCAGACTGGTTCTGGTTCTGGTTTGGTTCAGACTGGTTCGAGGTCTGGCTCAGACTGGTTCTGGGTCTGGTCTGGTTCAGACTGTTTCTGGTTCTGGTTTGGTTCAGACTGGTTCGAGGTCTGGCTCAGACTGGTTCTGGGTCTGGTCTGGTTCAGACTGTTTCTGGTTCTGGTTTGGTTCAGACTGGTTCGAGGTCTGGCTCAGACTGGTTCTGGGTCTGGTCTGGTT